GAAAAAACAGCAACTGAGGTAGCTATAAAAGAATTAGCAGAAGCCACAACAATTGAGTCTGCACAAACCTTGATAGCAGAGAGTAAAACTACACTGTTACAATTACAGGAGAAAACTCTAGGTTTTACAGAAGAAGTGGCATCTGAAGAAGTAAACAATTGCATTGACATGTTTAACCAGGTGATTTCCGACGGGGTATCTGAAGATATTGTCAAGAATCTTGGAACTGCACTTGAGGAGCTGAACAATTTTGTAACTAGCTACGACACCACTACCGAAGTAGGCGTACAAAGACTGCAGGAGGCTATAGATCTTGCTAAAGAAGCCAAGGCATCAATTGACAGAGTAATTGATCAAGCTGCAGCAGAGGAAGACAATAACGTTGAGCTTCTCGAAGATGCACAGTTGCAGGTGCAAGAATTACAGTCACTTCTCGGGCAGCTGAGTGCAGGAGACACTGAAGAAAAAAATAATGCAATTGATGAAGTGAAAGAATTCATTGTACAGTTAAAAGAAAATATAGAGACAGTTTCAGAGGAAACTATTCAGATGTTGATATCAATGAATGCAAAAATATCAAATATAGCTACATTAAAAGAGCATACAGTAACCATAACCGGATTTACAAGTACCTTGCAAGAAGTAACTGATGAGATAGCTGAACTAGTGTCAGTTATTGATGAAGCTCTTGTTGAAGAGCAAAGGTTGGCTGATCAGGTAGGTGTGGCATCTGTTATAGAAAATGTAAAGGCTGAAGTTGAAAAAATTATAGAAATTATAATAAGCATTCAAGAGTTTGAAACAACAGGCACAGAAAATACAGAATCCATAAGCGGTTTTAAGACAACACTTGAAGGTATTACAGACGTGTTGCTTGTCACTACGGACACTGTCCAAGAAATAAAGGTTATTGTGACAGAACTTCAAACCATTAAAGAAAGTAACATTAAGCCAGATAACATTGATGACTTAAAGATGGCTGCTGAAGATGTAGTAGAAGCATCTGAAGAGTCCTTGTCTGTAATCCAATCCGAAGTCGCAAATAAAGCTACCATTAAGATCTCAAAAATGGTAGAGGAAACACTGGCGGATATAGAAATGAGTTTTAGTGAATTCATCAAAATCTTCGCCGTTGAGCAGCTGATTGGTGAAGATATTGAAGAACTTAGTACAATAATTGAAATTGCTAAAACTATCAGTTCAAACACAGATTCAGCAACTGAAGAGGATATTGCATTGTTGAAGGAAACCTTTGCTGCTGCTGAAGAGAAATTAAATCTTCTCAGCGATGAACAGGGTGCTGGCAATCTTGTGGCTGCCCTGACTGCAGTGGAAAAAGCAAAGGATTCTACTATGAGCAGACTCTCAGAATTAGAAGACTTGAAGGAAATTGAAATGGAGGAACAGAGTCTAGAGAAAATAAACACATTACTTCTAGAGGTTCAGACTGAAATTGAGTCCAAAATTACAGCAATTGGAGAGATAACTACGACTGACTCAAATGAAGAACTTGCAGAAATAACAGAGCTCAAGGTAATAATGGAAGACTATATCTCCAAGATGTTTGAAAAGACTGATACTGAACTTCAGACCAGCCTGGATCAATTAAAAGAGATTACAGTCACAGCAGGCCAGGAAATATCAGGGTTATTTGAATTACAGACTTTGACACAGGAAGCAATTACTGCTGTAGAGGAAGAGCAACAATTCGTTATGATGACAAAGGAGAGTCGCAATGAAAAGACCATTTTAAGCCAAGCATCTGCGGAACTAATGAATCTTGAATTGGAGTTTGCTTCCCTGAAGACCTTCTTTGAAGGTAATCAGGAGGAGCAAACTACACTGTTTATTGTGGATGATATAAAAATCATTTTGAGCGAAATGGAATCGACAGAGAAAATAACTTTTGAGACAGTAAAGGAGCTTAAAAAACTGAATAGTGAACTGAAAGAGGCTTACACTTTGACTAATGTAGATACACGAGTTTTTGAAGAGGTAGAAACTCAGATATCGTCCATAGCAGAGAATATAGAAGAATCATTGCAAGAACTTGCAGTAACTTCTGAAGAGAGGGAAGCTGTCACTACTTTGCGGACCAGCAGCACAATCATATCAGAGATAAAATCGGTATTCGAATCAATCAGTGTTGACTCTGCTACTGTAGACAATGCTGATATAGAAGGTTTTGTAACACTGCTCACTGATATAAAAGAAGTAGGTAGTGTAAATGCTGTGCAGGTCAAAGAACTAGAACGTCTAGAAGTTGTATTCGCAACATTAGGAAGCATTAGTGAGCAAGATGTAACCAAAAAGGACGATGCCTTAATTCTGATTGAGGAAGTTTCAGAAATTATCAGTGAAAAACTATCATCCACTCAAACAGCAATAACAATCACAGCCAAGTCTTCCGTTCTGAACAAAGCAACTGATGCTATGAGAACTATTATCGATACAACATCAACACTCATATCAGACATAGGCCTAGCTTCAGAGGAATCTCCAAATGAGGATGTTGCTAGCTTGATTGTTGCAGTCAAGGAAGTGTCAGTTGCATCTCTCACTACTGAACAGATAACTCAAATAGAAACTACAATTGAGAAGTTAGAGGCTATTACTGTTACTGAAGGTACTGGAATCAAAGACTTATTAATGCTCAAATCTGTTGCCGAGAGTAAGGTGGAAGAACTGTTTAACAGTAATGCGGTTCTAGGAAAGACAAAGATGGAGACTGTAAGCTTAAACTTTGTGACAGCTATTGAAACTGTTGTTAGAAATATCAAAATGGAACTTACCGATATTCTGGACAATTCTGATATATCAGGTTCTGATGTTAGTAGTGTTATCACAGAAATTGCCGATATTCTTGTCGAAGATGTAGATTCAATGACAGATCAAAATGTCGAGGAATTAGAGGAAAAATACAATACCTTAGTACTCACTAAAACAACCATTAAAGGAGGTGCCGATGCTATAAAGGGCGTCGTAGACACTCTTTCAGTTTTGGAAGAAAGCGTCATGGAGAAGAAATCAAAGATCGAAAAAAATCAGAAAAAGAATTTCCAGATAGCCATATTTATGGAAGCTGAAAGCACTATGACAAAGATATCAGAAATTACATCAAGTATTTTGGTGATTGGCGAAGAAACCGCAGACAGTGAAGAGAACGAAGATATCTCAGCATTGATCAAAAGTCTAACCATGTTTGAATCTAATGTGCTAGGAATAACAAAATCTGTGACGGTGCGATGCTATAAGGGCGTCGTAGACACTCTTTCAGTTTTTGGAAGAAAGCGTCATGGAGAAGCAAATCAAAGATCGAAAAAAATCAGAAAAGAATTCCAGATAGCCATATTATGGAAGCTGAAAGCACTATGACAAAGATATCAGAAATTACATCAAGTATTTTGGTGATTGGCGAAGAAACCGCAGACAGTGAAGAGAACGAAGATATCTCAGCATTGATCAAAAGTCTAACCATGTTTGAATCTAATGTGCTAGGAATAACAAAATCAACCTTGGGAGAATTAAACTCAAAAATATCTGCATTGCAGACTTTGGTTGCTGAAAAGAAAGTCGTTAAAGGTATAACACAGCTTTCAGATTTGAGTTCCATGGTCCAGAGTACAATAGAAGGTGAAATTAGTATGATTGTTGCAGATAACGCGAAAAAAGATACTGTTGAAATCAAGCAGAAATATAAAAAATCCGTCACAAGTATTCAACAAGTGTTTGCCGATATTTTAGAGGCTGTGGGTGACAGTAGTACTGGCGAAAGTATTGAGTCAGAAGAAATAAAACAAGCAACAATTATTCTTCAAAAAATAAGTGACTCCTCTGCTACAGAAGAAGACCTACAGACACTGGATGAACTAACAGCTGTGTTACAGGAGACCACTTTTGAGCAGGGAGCGATTATAACCAACCTTGAAAGTGCCACTACTCTTGCCAGTGACATTGATGAATCACTGGCAGGTGGTCTTGCAGAAGACGTCTTTGATTTAACATATGCAGATGACTTATTCGCCGCGAAAGAGGAGGTCTCTTTACTTTCGCATGCTGAATCCACATTGACTTCTACATTAACCGAAGGAGCGGATATAAGTGACGAAGCATTTGTTACAGTATTAGAAAGCATTAAGGAAATTAAGGAGCAAACATCTAGTATCATGAGCTCATCTTTCAGCACCACTCTTGAGAAACTGCTTACTGGAAGTACAAGCATGACACAAGAGAAGAAAGTCGAAGGGCTAAAGACCTTACAGCGAATGATACATTCTGCCATAGTTACACAGTCATTAAGTATTTCTCAAGGTTCAGCTTCCCAGTCTAGTGGAGCTACATTTGAAATGGTAAAAAAAGCTGAAGAACAACTTTCAGGCATTGAAGTTCTTCTTACCAGTATAAAAGAGAAGGTTAGTGCAAGTGATGGTTCCGGTACATCCATGGAATTTGTTGATTTTACGAATTTCCAGAGCTTCTTACAACAAGAAGGGGCATATGATTCCGAGGACATTGCTTTCATGATCTCATTCTCAGAAGTTTTGACAAATGTAATTAGTAAACTTGAGGAAGGGGGAGTTACAGAGATAATGATGCTCGATGAACTAATGACAGCTGTGAAAGAGGAAAAGACAATGGTTTCCAATGAAGTTATAACAGCAAAGAGAAATGTTATTAAAGAAAAACAGAGCGTGTATTCCGAAGCTGCGTGTAAAACAATAAGGAGCACTTATCAGTCAATCCAAAGTTTAGCAGCCGAAACCTCAGGAGAGGTAAGTGAAGTTACGGAAGTTACAGATTTCTACTTTAAACTGCAGAAGATTGATGTAGCCACCATGACTGCTGCTGAAATCAAGATGATAGAAGAAGGTATGGCGAGCATTACTAGCAGTATTTCCACAGCATCAGGTGGTGTTGCCTTCCTGAGCAATATAATAGAGAAACTGGCAATCATAGATGTTCGTGGCGCAGAAATTGTTGAGCGAAAGAAGGCAGTAGGAAACAGTTTAATCATAGAAAAATCACTTGGAAACGTTGAGGATACCTTACAGACTTCATTAAAAGACCTTAGTAGCATAGAGACAACAATTGGAGTATTGTCTGATGATGCAGAGTATACTGAAGATGCAACTGTGACTGAAGCATATAACTTGCTTGTCCAATACTCTGCTGATCTGAGACTTGTTCCAGCTGATTTTGGAGATTTGCTTGGAGCGTTTGACTTTACGGCAATAACTGGAACTAAAGGAACCGGTATCAAATACTTCAAGGAGCTTATCAGTCTTATTACTCAATACACAACTGCTTCACAACAGTCCAAGGAATTCGTCGCCCAATCTGAAGCACTTGATCAGAGTTTCGAACTTGAAAGCTCCATAACTCGAACCATGGATGCCCTGGGAGGCTTTGTATTTGGAGCATCAGGCAGTACTGGAGACACAGAGGAAACTACAGATACAGGAGGGGATGATCAAGGAGCAGGTGGAACTGGAGACATGGGTGGAGCACTTGATTCATCACAAGAACAAATAGACATATTTAATAGTGTCTTTAACATGGTCAGTGAAATTACTCTGGGAAGTATGAGTATTGAGGCTTTAAAAACTTCTGAAACTGTAACTTTGATTGAAAAATTCCTTGCAGGAGATATAAATACAGCTCTGGCAAAGATTGAAGCTGCTCAAATAAATGAATTTCTCAGTAGTCTGACTACAGTTAAGGCATCTGTGTCAGCAGATATAAAGAGCAAAGAATCTAAAACTGCAACAAAGAGTTCCTTTAACATCGCTGAAGAAACAAGCAATACCTTGGACATCTTAAAAAGTAGCATTAACAGGATGTCTACTAAGAAGGGAAGTACCGACACGGCTGATCTCTTTGCAGAACTAGAAACCTTATTAAAGAAAGTGACAAATGTATTCTTAATATCAAATGAACTTCTTTCTGAAATTAGAACCATCGCTTTCCAATTAAGTACTGCCAGCACTTCTGAAGGAGATACTGATATTGGGGATGTTACTAATTTATTGAGCTCCATTGATTCAGTCCAAAATATAGTTCAGGCTGCATCATCATCTCAGTCAGCCTTCTTGACAGCCATGGAGACAGGTGATGATGGAGGAGATACCGGTGGTGATGGTGGAGACACTGGTGGTGATGGTGGAGACACCGGTGGTGATGGTGGAGACACCGGTGGTGATGGCGGAGATACTAGTGGTGACGGTGGAGATACCGCTGATGGAGAGACAGGTGATGAAATTGGATCATCATTTGGGTCGTCATTGTTCTCAGATGTCATTATCCCAGAAAGTACTTTGAAAATTTCACAACAAGCATTCATAAGCTCACAGTTAGGCCAGCTCATGTTAGATGTAATGAAAGAGCTTGAAACCCTAAAGAATGGAGGTGGTTCTGGGAGTTCAGGTAGTGGTGGGTCAGATAGCTCAGGTGGTGATGGCGGAGATGGGTCAGACACCACAGATGGTACAAGCACTGGGGATTCAGGTATTTCAAGTGAAGCGGTCATAAGCAGAGTAAATATAATACTGCAGGATGCTACTACTAACATAAACAATCTTCAGTACAGTACTCTGATGGCTTGTGGTGCTGTTATTCAGGAACTGCGTCTGCTTGGTGAAACAGAGGGTGTTGTGGTGGATACAGCAGCTATAGATACTACTCTCACAGCTATTGAGTCTACTGAACAAACTCTTAAGCAATCTATTGACCTGCTCTCTAGTTCTGCCGATGCAAGTACTAGTGTTCTTGTTACTCAAGAATCTTCAGCATTCATAGCTAACATGGAAGTTCAGTTCCAAAGCTTTATAGATGCTGTTGGCAGTGTGACAGACGAATCATCTGTTATAGAGGACTCCTTCTTGCTGGAACAGGCTAATTTGTTCACAAGTTCATTAACTGAGCTTAGTTTGATGAGTACTACAATCTCACAGGAAACACTCCAGGTGCTTAAATCAAGTTCTGAAAGTCTATTCACATCTGACCTCGGGGAAAACCCTCGATTTGTACCTGGTCTAAAAGCTGCTGCATACTTTGTGTTAGATTCAGGCATTTCATTAAGTGAAGTCATTGGAGGTTTTGCAGTTGGAAGCACTCTGCAAAAATCACAGACACAAGAAAAATTATTTGTCACTAAAGGAGCCCAGACAATACTGGAAGAATTTAGTGTTGCTATGACTGGGATAAAGGAATCAGGAGGAACTGCTGATCCAGACCCTGAAAGTGCATCAGTGGTACAAATAAAGACGATCATACAAGACTCTCGAAATATCCTAGAAGAATGGACCTCTGGAAACATTCAAGAATACCAAGTAGAAATGTGTAGAGGCTTCTTGCAGGTGCTTCCTAGCTTGACAGCTGCCCTGAAAGATATTGCTCCACTACCTGAACTTGAAGACTTAGCGGTTGAGATGGAGGGTGCTACACAATCCATTATGACAACGACAGAAAGGATAACTATGGAGGAAATGGAAGATGAGGAAGATGCTGTTATTGATGGTGTTTTCATGTATTGTGGTCAACTAGAGTCATTTGCTGAGGGTATTGTGGAATTAGATGAAAATGGAAATGAAGTAGAGCTAGAGCAAGTGGATGCCATGTTAACACTCCTGAAAGACGTTTCAGCTGACCCTGTCAGTATTGATATGGCGTCCGTGCAAGAGACAGTGAAAAATTTCATGAACGTCATGCAGGGAGTAGAAGCAGGCTCTTCGGTTAAAAACTACAAAGTAGTAGTACAGATTTTGGGAGACATAACTAACTCATTAGCGTCAACTAGGCAATCTACCATTTTCACAAGAGGAGGAGAAGCTGCCTTAGCCGTGATGGGAGTCATGCCCTTTAGCGGAATGAGTGAGGAAGGCAGCACTTTTACTCCTGTATTAGAGGTCCAGGAAATGAGTATGATGGTCAGTTCTATGACAACCAGTATATTCTCATCATCAAGAGGTTCAGTTCGAGAGTTGGCAGCAGCAGCACCTAAGCTACAAATGGCAGTTGAAAAATATAATGGAAACATAGCATCACTTTCAATACTTGAAGAGAATTTGGCAATCTTTTCAAGATCAATGAGTAATTTTGCTTTTTATACAACACAAGAATATAATTCCATGAGAACATCTGAAATTTTAAAAGAAACAGCAAGCATTATTGAGGCTGCCACAACTGACTTAAAAACACTCACAATGAGTATGGGCAGTGTAATGACATATGAAAGTAATGATCAGATATCGAAGGCCTTCGATATCTTAGTCACATTTGCTTCTGACTTATCCGCTCTCCCATTTGACCTGAAGACACAGCTAGAGGAAATTGATTTCAGCACCGTGACCTTGCCTGCAAGTGGAGGTACTGGTATCGAGAAACTATTTGAGGTTTATACCATGATGGATGGTCTCAATGAAGCCATGTCGACTTCAACCTTAAACACCCAGTACATGGAATCCTTAGCTAAAATTACACCGGCAAATGGTGCAATGACAAGCATTATCAGCAGTCTGACAAGCTTCATGACCATTCCTAGTGAGGAAGGAGATGGAAGCAATACTGATGGAGGTGAATCGGTTGGTGATGGAAATGGAGGCGATGCTGGAGAAGATATAGATGTTAATGCAATAATTGCGGATATTCAAGCAGCAGCAGGGAACTTATTTGCAGAGGGACTCGTGTTGCCGGAAGGAGACATGGAAACGCTTGTTGCTGCTAGTGAAACACTGAGCAGCATCTCTGCAACAATGGGAGGTGTACTCGAAGATATACCTGGCTTGATTTCTGAATTATCAGAAACATCTGCCCAAATGAGCCAACTTGTACGTGGGTATGGGACAGCAGTTCAAAATAGGTTGATGTATTCCAGCATTGAGGATATAGCCACCATGTCCACTATGATCAAATCAGCAGTCAATGTGGGTGTTCCTGATGGTGCCCAGAGCCATGTTGATTCTATGGTTACAATCTTTGAAAGTTTCGTAATGGGTTCAGCTTTCATCTCTCAAGATGACGTTGTTTCCCTAAAGAGTTTGGCGTATGAATTCAGTGCTATGGCGGATGGCAATGCTGGAGCAGATGTTACTATGTTGATGGAGCTTATTGATCAGACAGAGAACGTGCTTCTGACAACGCAAGGTTTCCTATCTTCTCAACAATTATTCTTTGACAGTATGATGGAAAAAGAGTTCAATATGGAGATATTTAAGGCCGAATCAGAACATAATTCTGCCTATCAGCAGTATTACTTCCTTGGTGCTATGGACAGTCTACTAATGTCCCTAACGAGTAATCTAACAGGATTGATTGATGCTGGAGGAAGTGGCGAGGAAATGAACAAGACATCATTAACAAGCATTCGCGCCGCTCTCACTACTGCTGGTGCCGATATGGGATCTATGGATATGAACCTTGTCAGTGGAATTGGAATGTCCTTAATTGCCATCCAAGAGGCGCAAACCAATGGGTTATCTGTCAATGTTACAGAAGTTGAGAATCTTCGTAGTTTTGTAGAATCTGTTCAAGTAACTATCAAGAATGAGAGTAGCATGATGGAAGGCTATGGAAGGACCGTCACAGATGTCTTTGCGGCTCAAGATGCACTAAACATTCTGGATGCATTTGAGAATGAAGCAATGCTTTGGTTCGCTGGAGATGAATCGGCTGGAGGAAATGGAGGTGATGAATCGGCTGGAGGAAATGGAGGAGATGAGTCGGCTGGAGGAAATGGAGGTGATGAATCGGCTGGAGGAAATGGAGGAGATGAGTCGGCTGGAGGAAATGGAGGAGATAATGCAGCAGGAGATTCAGGTGATGAAGGTGAAGAAAATAGTCTGCAAAGCTTCGTATCCGAAGTCAGTGATATACTCTTGTCCTGGACTTTCGACAGTTCAGCAGTAGATGGTAGTTCTGTCGTAAAATTCAAAAGGACCCTGAAGAAACTTACATCTATGTTTGATGTCGCTAAAGAAGGGGATATTCCAGAATTGCAGATATG